TAATCATAAATTTGTACTATATCAAATTAAGGCTAATAAAAACCAACTGGCATTGTCATCAAAGTTCAAAAAAAAAAAAAAAAATTATTTTTTCTTATTATTTTTCTAAAGTTTATAACTCACCTTTATCAAGATAAAAACACATTTTTATTATATTATATATTATTTTATAAATGTTATCTCTGATAATTAACCCATCTTATAGTGCTTAAACATTTTATGAAAACCTTACTTCTAACTGTTTTATTTGATCTTGCAGCTCAATTGCATAATGATACAAAAGATGTTATATACTGAAAGTGTCAAAACCTTTAAGAGTATGTTATTGAATAAATTTGCAAATATTATCAGAAAGAGTAAGGGTATATAAATTAAATAATCTACTAGGATAATGATTAACATGTTTGTAATGATGCTTTAGGATTACAGTTACTGAATTTATTGAAAGCATAACATATATAAAACTTTTGTATTTATATTTTTTTGATTCCTTTTGTGCTAACCTGGCTTTTTTATTAAAATCTTTTTCTGCAGCACTCTGATATGTACTATAGTAATGGCAATACCATCACTCAGTCTATTAATATTTTTTTCTACTTTTATGCATTTGATGGTTATGTTGATAATAACTTAATTCTAATCTTTCTAGATTCTTAATCTATTTAGTGTATTTATTAACCAAAATATAATATGTTTTAGTTCTCTTATTTTCTAAAAACTTTTCTCTATTATCATTAACTATTTTCTGTAAATGCCCAATACTATCAGTTGCATCTAGGATTTGGTCAAGTGTTTTGTTAAGCTTATTATCAAAATTAGTATTATTGTCATTTATTTTATTATCTTTTTTAATATCATAAATTTTATTAATATTAGATAATAAGAATATAATTTAAAATACAAAGCGAAAAAAATTCAAATATCAGAAATAATAACAATATATAAAATATTAAAAGATAAGTATAAAATAATACAATTTGCAGAGAATTATAATTTGATAAATTCTTTAAAAATGCTTTCAGCATTTTGTTTTTTATTTAATTTGTTTTTAAAATATTAATATACATAATAATTTATAATATTAACTGATATATAATTTTATATTTTATATTAAATCAAACATCAAATATTTCATAATGATAATTTAATTTAGAAACATTACTATTATGGTACTAAATAGACCAGTTTACAATGATGAAAATATTTCTAATATTAAAATTAAAATACTGATAAGTTGTTATAATTGGTTGAGAGAAAAATATATAGTATTACATGCATAGATTAAAACAAAACCATTTAGAACTGCTTATAGTATTCTAATTAGTAAAATTGTATTAAACCAGGTACTGTATATAAATATAGGTTATTTAAGAACTAGGATTGAATAATAGTTGAAGAGAATATTATTTAATAGAAATGAATAATGTTAAATGTCAGAGTTATTTAGAAGCAATAAGTGTTATCACAAAAGTAAAAATTCAAGATTTTAACTTTATTGACTATTATATAATCAGTAAATAATAAACTTAAAAGCCCAAAGTTTCATTTTTCTTTGACTTAATTTTTTTAGTTATGTTAATAATAAATTAACTAATTCTGAATTCAGTTAAGTGCATGCATATGCAGATTTATATGTACTAGCTTTGCATTTATTATAGCATAATTATCTCAAATCGATAAATCATTACTTTTTTAGGTAGATACACAATGCAAACAAAAAATAAAAAAAACATAACGATAATTATTTTTGTTTGACATATTAAAATATAATAGACGATATAAGTTAAAATTATTGCTAGGTTTGAGACCAAAATACTACTCTTAAAATCGACTTCTGGTTTATAATATTATGCGTTATAGTTATAAATTATACAGTATAGCAATAGCGATAGCTATAAAATTAACTAAAGTAATTGTGTAATGGTAAAGTGGTTATGCAGGGGTCCCTAATCCCGTGATCGATTTTGGCCAATTAGCATAATATTTCTGATATCCAATCAGAACTGTGGGAAGAAATTAGTTAATGCATATATCGTCAAACAACAACTTACCGCAGAATTCAATGCACGTGTTGAAAGAGCACAAAAAAATTCTGTGCCAGGTTTTGTCGATCAATATGGCGCAGATTGTCAATCTACAAATCATATTTCAAGGATCTGGTGTAACGTAACACGATCAGAAAAGTTCAAACCAAACGCTCGTTTTGTCAAAGATTGCTTATTTCTCAAAAACTGCATAAAAAACCACTTTTAGTGCTCTAACAGAAGGTTTTCCTTGAGCAATTTTACTATTTAACTATTCAGTATTTAACTTTATTCTAAACGCTAACCCGAACATTAATGAACTTTAAACAATTTTGCTGCACCACCAACCTGGCACAGAATTTTTTCGTGCGTTGAAAGATTAACTGCAAATATTACGTCACGAGATGCTACATTTGTTGTTGAGGGACAGAGAATTGTGGCAATGGTAAATACCGTAATCGAAACTATTAATGAAATCACAACCAATTATGATTCGTGATCAGTTGGATCATTTAACTGAGACAGGTTCTGTGGCACCATTAATATCTGAACAATTTGCTAGCCCATCTATACCTATGTCTTCAATGCTTCTATCTCGCCAGTTTTTATTTTTTATTTTTCTAGAAGAAAACTTAAAGTGTTTTTGAGATTTTGATATTTCTCTTCAAAATCAGTTGGATTATCTATAATTACTCCCTTTAAACGTCCGCTACCCAATGAAATAAATATTTTTAGCTTATGTGAGGTTTACAGAAAATTTTTGAATTTTCAATACAAAATAAATTTATTTTTTTTATTACATCATTTACAAGAAATTTTGAGATAAAATATTTTAAAATTCCATGAACTATAATTATACGCTTAAAACCTTAGATAGATAATTATGAATATCTTGGCTGATATTCACAAATCCCACCACCACCCGAGTGTAATCAGGGTTAATTTCGTTATTTCCAGACTGTAAGCATCTAAAATTAGAACTCACTTCCTTATTTGCATCGCTTTTATAGGTAATCCATATAAACAATATCTCAATATCATCATATTTTGGTAATTCTAATTCTCTCCAAATACTATCGAAAAAACTATTCTCCGAATTTTTATGATTATCCTTATTAAGTGTAATTTGAATTGGGGCAACACACAACTTAATACGCCTTCGGACTGTTTGGTAAGAGATCAGTAATCCATCGATATCCTTTTGATTCCAAATACGTGGTAAATGAAATGTGCATGTTCCTTCACTTGCAGAAATTTTTATTTCTTTGTAAAAAAACTTAATTTCATTTGGCTTAAAATTTGTACCATTTACTGTAAGCCCATTTTTCCAAATGTTGGCAATGCATGCCTTTTTCACAATAAATCCCATTACTGTTGGATTGTTCTTGAAAGTCTTTATACAAGAAATCCAATTTATATCCGCAAATACTTCCATTTTGCCCTTTTCATAGAGATAATTCGCCATACAATCTCTTGCCATTCCACAGACATAATAGCATATTTCATTTTCAATGTAGAAGAAGCGATGATCAAAATCATTAACTCCATAGCCACTCGGAGGACATCCTTGTGCCAAAAATGATGACATCAAGTTGACATGACTGCAAATAGAGAAGTCAGCTTTCGCATAGTTTACCAATTGCAAAACAAAATATAAATATATACAAATCCTGTCTTCCTTCTGGTATAGTGTCTGAAAAGTTTGTCATTGGTTCTTTTATCTTTGATTTTAATTGCTTATTTAAGTAGTCCAATGCCTCTTCAAAATTATCGCAACTAAATTCTAATAAATTGTTTAAGAAAAGTGGAATTTTTCCAGTGATGTCCTCAATTTGATCCTTCTGTCAGTTATTCATTGTTGGTAAAATGAAATTATACTTCTTCTACCACTCCATCATCTCCTCCTAAATTGGATATTACATTAATATGTAGAAAATTCACGACGCAGGTCATCTTAATCATACCTCATCAAATCCTTCATAAAGCGTAATTTTCTTTTCATTGGTCTGTTTTTGCTTAAGATGTAATACTGCATGGTTGTTAGCTGAAGAACTCTTAATATAAAAATGGTTCCAGCACAATTTATCAATATTTTCTTTAACTTGTCGCTTTTTTTCAGGGCTAATTCCAGTATCATTACAATCATCCAGAGCATTTATTTGGTCTACTATAAAATATAATGTCTCATCTAATGATCCACAAAATGCTATGATTTGATCAAAATTTTTACAGGCATTAATTTCGCTTGTTACCGCATCATCATCTATGTAGGTGAGAAATAAGGCTGATTTTATGTATTCCACTGGGTTTACAGCCAGTTCGCGACAATCGGGAAGATACACAACACGCTTTCCGATTCGGATAAGAAAGCAAGCTATTGCTGTGAGAATATGAGACTTTCCATAACCTACTGTGCCATAAATAAACATTTTCATATAACCAGTGCTCGATCTGAATTCTTTAATTTTGTCTAGAACACTGTTGAATTTCTTCCTTCCCATGAAGATAAAAAAACCATTACCGTCAATAGCAAACCTATCTACTGGTTTATTTGATCCAGGGTATGGGAATGGTAATGTAAGGAAATTTTTCGGGTCTGAATAAATGTCACAAATATCAGGAAGTTTCATTATGCCCTTCATGATTTTACTAGCAGTTGCTAAGAAGGAATTATGCATGTTAAGACGATCGATGTTCTGCTTTTAAATGAAAATCTAAAAATTATACACACCTACTAGTTTTACTTTTTTACTTTCTTGGCCTTCGCCTTTCTCGTCTGAATCATCTCGGTTTCTTTTTTCTGATCGAGTATATACATTTTTTCGATTAAAATGAGTTACAAATTTCCTTATTCAAGAAGTAAAATGTTGGAAACACTTACTGGGCAATTGCACGATAACATGGACGACATTATCTGGAAGTTTGCCTGGAAAAGCTTCTTTAAACCTCATAGTTGAAAACAACTTCTCGCCTCCAAATTCTTGATTGATATCAATTTCGGCGTGAGGCTTTTCGAGTATTTTCCACTTCCTGTTTCCTTCGCTAAGACCTTCGACCTTCCATAGTGTTAGTTGGTCTGGGTCAATATCAGCAAGAGCACGTTGCTTCTGATTCCAGATGAGCATCTTGAGATGCCAAACTGTGAGAACGTCGATAGAAATTTCAATATTATCAATGATATTTTTTTCGGCGATGTCTACTGCGAAAGGACTCATTAGAGGATCAACTAGAATGATACAAAATAATGACATTTCAACGATATATCTACAAACATGAAAGAACAACCTTGGCTGATGATTGTTTGACATTGTGTGCGAACTGGTTTGTGACTTGCTTTGAAAAATCAATGCAGTAAATAAAAATGGTTAGAAAATTTTTTTTCTCTTATACAATACAACTCATACAGGGGATCCCCAAAATTCCGGGTCGGAATACATCGGAATCATGATCGGCAGGGCCGGAATTAACTAAT